TGAAGGATAAGCATTATCCTTCAGGAGTATGAATCCTAGGAGGACTCTAACATGGAGGAGTAAGAGTCCTACTTGGATTGTGCCACACGGAACCTATAAAAGCTCAAAAACATCACCTATGAGAGGTAACACGGCAACTTTGATACACAGAGCTTCTTGTCTTTGTCCTATTTTTCTGACTAGCATCGGGGGTTTCCAGCACAGCACCCCGCCAGCTAGCTCACGTTTGTGTTTTCAGGGAGTAAAGCGACGACGTTTGGAGGAGCGCAGACTTGATCAACAGGATTATACGAGAAGGTTTATTCCTTTCCCATACAGGTACTTGGCAGCTTTGGCAGCTGCCAAAGCTTGACACAAGTTTTGAACATTTGCCAAAGAAGCGGGCTGTTAAAATTTGTTGCCATAATTTGGCAATAGCAGCTCCAATAAACACCATTGGAGATGTTATTAGGCATAGGTACAAAAATTATCTTACTAGTGCTAAGCAAAAGAATTGAAACAACCATTACCCAAATCAACCTTGTGTTAATAGATTGAGTTGGTTCGGTTGAATTCTGAATCTAAAAATTTTAACAATGCGGTCTTAGATTGGTGAGTGGATTACCGAACCAACCAAGAACCGACCATTATGATAGCTAAGAAAGAAGTTTGACGTATAATATGGTATTGAATTCAAACTGGAATAAAGCAGGTGATTCGAAACTAATACTGGACAACGTTGGAAGCAGAGTTGACCATAAGATCAGGTGTAAGAAGGAAACTCAAAGTGCAATTTTCGGATAGGGTATATGAATAGGTATTTGTAATGTCATTGCTTCCTGCTACTACCACATATAGGCTGTTGGCCAATATTGTGATTGTTCTCTCTTCCCCAACCACTCATTTCAGCCTTGCTATGTATTCTTTGAACAATTCCTATCTGATCTGACAATGATATAACTGACTGATTTTTAATCAGATTTTGAAAAAGAAAAAAAAAAAATGTGCATGTCAAAAAAACACAACCGAAGCATGTAGGAGGGTTGCAAACAGACGAGAGAAAGAATATATGTAATGTACCGCAAGCATCAGATTTAGAATGGATCAAATCGCAGCACCCCCTGAAGGCGAAGTTCAACTCCAGTCGCAGAGATCCATCCAAGATTGCAGATTGGGGTCGCAAGATATGCTTGGCAAGAAGCTCTTAAATTCCCAATTCCTCCACTGAAAAAGCCACAATTTAGAGAGATTTTTACGTGTAGATAAATTTGGAAATTGTTGTATAGTAGGAGACTCAATAATTTATTAAAAGAATTTTAATTTAGTTGATTGGATATAACTTTTGAAAGTTCAATAATAATTTGTTAGTGCGGTAGTTAGGGTTCGATAATAAAAATCACAAAAAACAACAATATTATTTGAATTATTTTTTTTTTTATCTTGTGGGAAAGGAGCAGTTTGCTTGGTGAGCAGCAGTTTTTTTTAATCATTATTCGGTGGGTTAACTATTTGAAGTTGTGGCTGTGCGCGCGTATTGCTATGCAAACAAGCAAATATGCTTGCTCTGCTTCGATCTGGATTTACAGGTTTCGGTAATGATTTGGGTGCTCTTTGGTTCTACAATTTGTTTGGAAAATTTTTAGTGAGGTCTTTTCTCTGATTATTTTGTAATTATTTAGAATTACCTAAGATGATTTGTGAGACCTTCGTGTGTAGTTTTAATAATTGTTTAAAAACTCTTTAATTAATATGTGGTTAGACTATTGATTAATATCAATGCCAGACCAGCATGAGAGTAGGTCGTGACTAATTGAGGAACTACCCGGAGACGTGACTAATTAAGAAGTGTATTTGATTATTTGCTATATACATTGGAAATCCGTAAAGTTATTTGATAATTTTTCTACATTAATTTTTATTTTCATTGAATTGATTTATTAGGTGGAAAAATCAATCTATTTTTCCTAACAATTCAACCAATAGTATTTAAGCTAATACTCCTTCTCATTTTGTGATCCATTTCAGAAGAAAACAGAAGAGCAAAGTGCGAGGCAAAACACACTAGAATGCGCATAATCAGATTACCCTTGTCTCAATATCTTCGATTATTAAGTAACTGGCCAAAAATTATATCTACCTACAATTTGCACTCTGTTTGT